GGCCGGGGCGGCAGGCACTGTCACACTCCTGCACTCAAGGCGCAGCCAGGGTTGCAGTTGACTGGTGCGTGTGCGATCATTGCTGCGTCGTGTCCTCATGTGTCAACCCGCCCCACAGCAACGACGCGGCCCCGCAGCTCAAATCCTGAGCCTAACAGCGGGCGCCCTGGCAAGCAAGCGAGCCAGCCGCGGCTCAGACGCACCTGCATGATGCGCTCCCCCTGCTTGACCATGCCGAACCGCTCCATGTAGGCGATGCTGTACCAGGTGGTGCTGCTGCTGGTATTGCCCATGTCGCGCAGGCTGGCGAACGAGGGGAGCATCATCTCCATGGGCAGGCTCATGCCCTTCTGGATGCCCTTGAGCACCGCGTAGCCGCCCGCGTGCAGCGCAAAGTGGTCCATGCACTTGGTGTAGTCGGGCACGTAGCGGCCCCAGTCGTAGCCGAGGAGCTTCTTGCCCACCATCCAGTACGCTGCCTCGGCGTACTGCCCCCACGACATGATCTTGGGCGTCACCTGTTGTGGGAGGGGGCAGGTGATGGAAGCGTGACGTCAGCAGGAGGTGCATGAGCGGGAGGGGGGGTTTCACAGCCGGTGTGGCAGCCTGGTCAGGCGCGGGGCGGGCCGCGAGGCACAAGCCCAGAGGTGCCAGCAGCGGGCAGAAACTCACAACCTGGATCACAGCAACAAGCTGGGCAGAGCGCGCTGCCGGGCTGCCGACGGCTGTGGAAGGGGGGCGTACTCAGCCCCCCGGTCGACCCTTATTCAACTCCTAACAAGCCCAAGGTGCCCCGCACCTTGGCGATGACGGCCTGCAGCATCTTCCCGGCCTCCACTGGCACGTCCTTGCCCAGGAACACGCCGTTGATGCCGTCCTCATCAGGCCCCCAGCTGATGCACCTGGGAGGGTGGGGTGTGATTGAGCAAGTCGCGCGCGGCTCGTGTCGGCGCCGGCCAGCAGCACAATGAAGCATGGGAGCGCCGCAGAGAGCATGCCCACTGAGCCTCGTGCCCATCGCCCGTGCCGCATTCAGCAGTTGCGCAAAGGCCTGCAACCGCACGAAGGAGCGCGAGTGTGCAAAGGAAACGTGCGCCGCGCTCACTTGAAGGAGGCGTCGTCCTGGCCGGTGTGCACGCGCTCCGCATACTGCAGCTCGTACTTGCAGCGGCTGTACAGCGACGGCTTGTTGGTCATCAGCATGGCCGCGCCGCCCATGCGGAAGATGGCGTTGGCCACGAGGAAGTCCTTGTGGCGGCCGGGGTAGAAGCAGTAGGTGGTGATCTCGGCCGGCACGAACAGCGCGATGCTGTTGGGGTGCGCCTGCGGCCGAGGGAGGGCGGCGGGGCGGCGCGGCGGGCGGGGGCGCGTGGTGAGTAAGGGAAGGGATTGGCGCCCAGTGACGACAGAGCAGCACACAAAGATCCTTGCTGCAGGCGCCGACCTGCGTGCCCGTAGCAACGTCTAGGCCCCCGCCCATGCGGCGTCTGGCGCGGCTGGGCCTTTCCGAGCCGGGCGGCGGCGGCGCCGCACCTTGAGCATGTCCCTCACGAGGCCGACCGCCACCACGCCGATGCTGCAGCCCATGCCCCCCAGGTGGTAGGCCTCGATGTCGCGGCGGAGCTTGAACTTGTTGATGAGCATGGACGCCAGGGAGGGCGTGGGGCAGAAGATGCTGCAGTTGGAGATCAGGATGTCGATCTGCTCGGGCTTGATGCCTGGGGGTGGGGGGTTGAAGGGGGTGCCCGTGCGGGGGGTGAGTGAAGTTCATGGGGTGGAGGGTGTGTGTGTGTGCGGAGGGGCGTGTGATGTTGTGAGGCCCCAGCCGGGGAAAGCTGGGGCGTAACAACGTGTGCTGTAGCGGCAACAACGCACCCTGTGCGCCTGGGAGCATGCCGCCCTCCCGAGGCGTTTGCAGGCCCCAGCCAGTGCCAGGCCAGGTGCCTTGTGGCCATCGGGCGAATGGCCACAGGGCAGCCGCAACGGCGCCCACACCGGCCTGTGATCAACAGGAGCCCGCGTGGTGGCGCCCGACTGTGCAAGGTGAGCCCTTTCTCCCCGTCCTCCCCATTCTCCCCTCCGTCCTCGAGGCCCGCCCGGCTGGCAGCTGCCGGGGCGCCCGATGCTTCCAGGCCCCACCCTCCGCAAGCCGCCCCGGCGCCCCAGCTGCCCCCCTCTCACCCGTCTTCTCCAGCAGGTCGGACACCGCGCCGCACATGACCATCTCGGCCTCCAGCATGGCCGTCTTCATGTCGGTCTTGGGCTCGTCGGCAATCGAGGGGTGGATTGCCGGCGGCAGGTAAGTGCCATCAACATCCAGGCCGCTCTTCCTCACCACCTTGAGCTGGAACTGGGTGTTCTCCTCCACGTACATCTGAGTGGGATAGGAGGCAGGGATGCAGGGATGCAGGGTCGCGGGGGAACGGAGGCGGGGGTGAGGTGGTGCATGATGCGGCGCGGCGCGGCGCGGTGGGGTGTCCGGGAACCGGCGACGGATGCATTGCCCCGGGGCGGGCAGCCGCTTTCGAGCGCGGTCTGAAGGTATTCGGATTGCCTCAGAAACCTCTCGCGCCACCTGGGCGCTTGCCAGGCCCTTTCCACGGCCTTCATCTCCCTTCAGCACCCCTCGGCCCAGCAGGAATGCTGGGTGACCGGCACCTCAGCCCTCCCCTTCGTGCCGCTATTCGAATAGCTTCATGGTTGAGAATGGCTGCTGTGACGCTCGCCGGGTGCGAGGGCCGCAGGGACGGGCTATATCTGCAGCTCGTCAGGAGCCCCGCTGGTCCCGGCTCGGCCGCGCTCACCGACCACTTCCTAGCATTTTCTCCTCCAGTGGTGTGGTTTACTTTAAACTCCGCTGGGGGCTTGTAGACCGCAAAGTCGAGCATGTAGGCCCCCGTCATTTTTCACAGCGCTAGGGTTGCTTGCGGGGCCTCCGAATAAAGCTAGTAAACAGTGTACTAGAACGCACCCACGCCCAGGAACAGATGGGGGCAACAATGGAAGAACCGGCGCGATCGATTGCCCTGGTTGAGCCGACAGCGGCTGCACAGGGTCACCCAGCGGGTGGCCGTCAGACCTGGCGTGAACATGGTCCTCGATACTTTTTGAATGCCTGCAGACATGTTTTGCATAAGGTCACCCGGTCTGCGGAACGGGTGCGTGGTCTAGCGCGTTGTTCCAACCTGTCCAAACCGCCCGTTCCTGATCGCAAAGGACCGTGATTCGCTTGCATGACAGCACACGACACTGAATATCGCCTCGACCTTGCCGCCGTGAGAGCTGGGCAGACAGAGGTGCAACGTTGACGCGACACACACTGCTTGTCAGTGTTGCATTCTGATCGCGACCTCTGTGACTGCGACGCATCGTGCTGCGCCGTACTGCGAGCCGCGCCACTACGAGCCGGGTGCTGTTCATGCAAAAGTAACATATTGCTGCTCACCGCAAGACATTCAAGGACCACACCGGCACCTGGCTGGTGTCTCAGCAACAGCCACCTCCAGTATGGAGTCCTGGGTGGACAAGCTGCAGACTTTGTTCGCCGAGCTGCACGTTGCTGACCCTTTCTGAGCTCATTGCAATACAAGCTGCAGCGTGAAGAGTTGTCCTGTGGCAGCAGATGCAGTCGCGCCTGCTGATGCCTCTATCAGTCCATGGTTGCTGCGTGCTGTGCCGTCCTGCTGCTGCTGCGTGCGGTGTACTGCTTCGTGCGGTGTGCGGTGTGCGCAAGGCAGTCGTTTGCCAGCCCTTAGGCCGCCTTGCGAGCACCCAAGTCCGCGAATGCCCGGCGCCTCCCCTGTGTCGCATCCAGGGGCACCGCAAAAGCTAGCAATTACAGATGATCGCGGCGCGCTCCTGTGTTTCAAGGAGCGCGCGCTTCCCTCTGAGCCCCTTGGGGCCGAGGCAAAGGCAAGTGCTGGGCGGGGCCTCCGCCGTGGGGCGCAGGAATTCTCTGACATCAACCGGGCCGCGCACAGGGGTGACGCAGGAGCCCACGCCCATCGTTCCCTCAGGCAGGAACTTAATGATTGGTTCAAGGGCATCCAAGGCACAAGAATTTCAGTGCTCAGCTCTTAATTGCTGACAGCGTGCCCCCTAGAAGAGTGGACGGGGGTGGGGGCACCAGGCAGGCGACCCTCAAAAAACCTGGCTGTATTTCGCTGCAATTGGAGGGCCTGTACCGCGAGACGCAGCAGGCACAGTGCCCGCTCTGCCCAGTCAAAACATTGGCAGACACCAAGCAGAAGTACTTGAACGAGCACCTGGGCTCAGGTATGACATCCCCACAGTTTCAGCATGACCTCACAAGCAGGGCCAAGATTGCACGGGCTACCTCACGCACTGCACTGACGCTGCTGCCTCACGTGCACTGGACCTAGTGCGTCGGCTCCGCAGACGCGCCAGCCGCGTGCCTCAAATCGGCCCCAAACGCGCTCTTCACGGCAGCGGCGATGTCCCCCGCAGGCACGGTGCTTAGGCAGCTGCTTGGGTCGCTGATGGGCCGCGGCAGATCTGCCTCGGTAATTGGCCGGTGAGCGACATGACGCCAGGCTGGGTGGATGGCATGCACGTCCCTCAGCGCGCGCCAAATGTTGACGCCCGCCTGCAGGGCAGCATATTGTGTGTACAATGGGGCGGGGCGGGTATTGGTTTGGTGCTCGGCAAGCGAGGGCTACCCATAACAATCACTGCTGTCGCAACGCGGCTGGCCTGTTGTGGTGGCTGAGTTCTCAGCAGCTGCTTGACCCGTGCAAGGC